TTGTTCTGCATTGTTTTATTTTATCTTTGATTGATTCAAATCTTCTTTTACGTCCCTATTTCTCGGTCTATCAAATCTTGTCTCGCCCTCATCTTTTGGCAAAAGTACTCTCTATTAACTATTTATGTAAGTTTGCGAAAGTTTTTAAAGTCTGAGATCGCCTAAGTATCTGTTAAATGGATCGTCCTAATTGTATAAAAACCGGGATACGCGTATTCTGCAATATGTAGATTTCAAATTTGATAATTTCAATGTTGCCACATTTATTTTTTGATATTATTAGTCAATTTGGTTTTTTAAATACAACACTCTGATTATTATATTATTACTAGAATTTCCATTTCAAGACGAGTTCAACCATATGTAACACTGTGTATTTTATGTAGTCATGAGGGTCTTAAATAAATAAAACTTTTGAGTGCCAAACACTTTTGAAGTAATTCAGTAAATATAGAATGCTGTGTTTTTGGCATTAATTCATAAAACTAACAATAGCTTGACGGTTACTAAAAAGTTTTGTAAAATAAATTGTATTAATAACTAAAGGTAACAGTTGTTTTATGTGTTTTAAAAAGCTCTACAATAAAGATGAATGACAGATACGGCGATAGAAAAATATCTTAATATATTGAAGTAGCCAACTTGTTCAACAATACTTTTGCAAACCATTCTTCTATCCATAAGGCGACAGTATAAAAAGTTGTAAAGATCTTTAATATAACTTCACCAGTAAAAGATGGCATTCGAACAAGTAGACCAAGAACTGTTATAAATTACAACAAAACTTTAGATTTAATGAACAGTTTCGTTGAAGATCCACATGCATTCTCACGCAGAGCTGCAGAAATACACGATGTAGGTCATTCATCTGTATTGTGTATATTACACAAAGATTCACTTAAACCCTACAAAATCCAGTTGTTGCAAGAATTAAATGAAGATGACTACAACTCTAGATTACAGTTTAGTGAGGTTTAGTGATAAATATAATTATAACTTACGAGAACATTGTTAGGAAGATATGTTTTTCCGATAAAGCAATATTTACACTGTAGGAATATAAATCGCCAAAATGTAAGATATTGAAGTGAAGTACATTCACACCGGATACGTAAAAACCATACTCAAAGATCATAAAAACTAAATGTGTGATCAAGTATGGTGGGTACTTAGTTAATAGGGCCATTTTTTATAGAAAGTAATTTAACACGCGATAATGAAATGCTACTTTTTTTTAATTGCCGTATTGCCATATTCCAGTAAAAGCCTAATACGGTATCCATTGAATTCTGACAGGCCTCCTCTCAACATTATGTTTACAATGTTTCTTTCATCCAGCCCGAAATCCATTCGCTTCTTGAAATCTCCTCTCTCATTTGCGCATCTTTTATTTATTTATTCTCTTTTATTTATTCTGTTCATTAACGATATCGATATTTTTGTAAATTGTGAATTTATTAATCTTTTTGCCGATGATACTCTAATCTGTTGTAGTGATAAAAATTTTGATTTAGCTATTCAAAAAATGAACACCATTTTAGATATGGTTAATATATATTTAAAAATGAATAAACTTAAATTGAATGTGAAAAAAACAAAGGCAATGATTTTCACTACCAAACATAAATATAGCTTGCTTGATTCTGAAATCATAAATTTAAATATTAATAATAAAAAAATTGAAATTGTCACAACAGTTAAATATTTGGGATTCCAGCTTGACAATACTCTGAATTTTGAGAGTCACTTCGAGTACGTTCATAAAAAAATATCAAAAAAACTTTACTTTCTGAGTAGAATATCTCAAAATTTATCATTGGAAACAAAAATAACAGTATATAACACAATTATTCAACCTCATTTTGACTATTGCTCATCAATTTTATATTTATTTAATCTTAACAAACTTAACATGCTACAAAAATTACAGAACCGTGGAATGAGAATAATTCTTAAAACAAATCGCCGTACCCCAATTGGGTCGATGTTAAATACTCTAAATTGGTTCTCTGTTGAAAATAGACTGTTTTATTTCACCATGATTTTGGTCTTCAAAATAGTAAATGGCTTATCACCTGAATATTTTCAAGAATTCATTTCTTTCAACAAAAGTATTCATTCGTATAATACCCGAGGTTTAGATGACATATATGTACCTAGAACTATGTATAAAAGTACGATGAATTCGCTCGTTTTTAAAAGCTTCGTTAAATTTAATCAGTTACCAACAACTGTAAAAAAATGTACTAGTCTTAATAATTTCAAACTGTTACTTAAACAACATATCAAAAATTTATAGTGTATTTTATTTATATTGTATGTATATTAGGGTTCCTATTTAAATAAAGATCTATCTATCTCTGGTAGTTACAAATGTAAGCGGGAGCGTTCGGTACCCCACAAACAGTACAGTCTTCCAAGGCAGATTTGCCTATTCTATTTGTGAAGGTGCCAAAACTACCATGTACAGTCAGAAACTGCATCAGGAAATAGTCTAGCTTCCTGAATTTATATCCCCACCACGGTCTCAGATCGAGAATAAGCTTATTCGTCTACCTTGTCTTTTCGCTATCACTCGTCCAATATCTCTGCCACTCTACTAATGTTCTTTCTCTCTCATTTTCATCTATATTTACATCCATCCTTCTCGCATACACTCTCGCTCGCTCTTGGCACAACAAAAAAATCGGTATCACCGCTCCAGTTACATATATAACCTTATTTGAAACTGTCCTATATGCGCTAGATATCCTGAGGAGCGATACCTTTGCGAAGTCTCCATCAGCTTAGCGTATTTCGCAGTATTTAGTACGCTACACCACACGGGGGCAGCGTAGGTTACCACCAACTGGAAAACTTCATTTAGCACCTTTCTTTTGGTGCTACCTGGACCTCCAATGTTTGGCATCAGCTGTATCAACGCCTCCAAATTTCGGTTCGCCTTCTCTACCGTTTTTACTTAGTCCTTCCAACAACCAGACTCCCAGATACTTAATCGATTTAACCAGTGCAACCTCCACACCTTTCACTATAAAGTGAATAGAGGATTTTTCCCGGCTCCCTTTGAGAAATAATACCTTAGTTTTCTAAGGCGCTAGCTGTAGATCATTCCCTCTGATCCACCTACTAATGCGATGCAGGGCTGTGTTGGCCGCATTAGCTGTGTCCGTTTTTTGACTCGCCTTCGCAACCAGTGCAAGATCATCGGCATAAGCTACAAGAGTGCATCCCCTTGGCATCTGTAGCCTCAACACCCCGTCGTACAGGACATTCCACAGGATGGGACCTAGTACTGAATCCTGTGGAACAACCTGTGACAAACTAATGCTTGTATCTTTTTCTCTTATGGACCTGTCAGTAAAGTATCTCACAATTACGTTGACCAGGTACTTACTAACGCCCAATATTGAACTAAAAAGGCAAATTTGCCGTAATCGCACCTTTTCCTCTTTACCTCTCGGAAAGAGAGGTGAGGACGTGAACCTTTCGGGGTAAGGACAACCTTAGCTGCTTTCAACATTGTTAGAAATTGCTGTTGTTTAAGCAGTTTGTTTAGCAATCTCAGGAAAACCTGCAGGTATCTTAGTGCGGCGAGTCTTACTGTCTCCGGCATGACTACATCTAGGCCAGGTGCTTTTCGGATCTTCATCCGTCCAACAGCCTCGCCGAGTTCCAACTCAGTAAAAGGTTCCGCATCTACGAAATTAATAACCCTTTCACGCCTATTCTCCACCTGAGGAAAGAGTCCCCGTATTAAACGGAGTTTCTCGTCCTCAGGCAGGGGGTAGGGTGTCTTTTTCCCCTTCAATTCGGTACTTTCTTTCAGTACTTTCTTTCTTAGAATTATCATTCCTGTAATAATTCTGCATTCGCTTTAATTCATTCTCTCTTCCAAATCTCCTGCTTGTACTCTTCTTAACCTCGTACACTTCCTTCTTACTCTTGTGCAATTTGTCCTCAGATTTTTAAGCTGCTCGTTCCACAAGTTTGGTTATTTTCTTTGATACCTCCCATTTGATCTTACACATGCCAACTCCTGTGCATCACTCAGACCTTCAATTAATTCACGCACATCCTTACATCTCGGACCAATCAAGCCAAAAGCATCCACAAAAACCTCCTTATTTAAGCATCTCTTTATATTGATATCCCCATTTTTACATTTCTGTCTTATGCTAGCTATTTCAAATCTCGCACACTTGTGTAAGCTGAGCCATTTTTCTTCCAAAACAGTCCAGCTTACGACCTTGTTTAGAAATGTCTTTGAAGCCAGTGTGATGTGCAGAAAGAATTCACTATTATCTCTCACGAATGTATCCATTCTGATAGGTATTTTCCTCTCCCACCTTGCACTCGTGGTTTTCATAGACAATCCTTCGCATTCAGGTCACCAGCAATGACGACCGGTACAGTATCTATCCTAGTCTCTTGCATAATCGAGTCAATGTACTCTTCATATACTCGAAGCGGGATGTTTGATGAAACAAAGCAATTATACACTACCAGGTTTCCGACATATACCTTAACATAACCATTCTTAACGGAGTGTCTGGTAATGTCAGCTCCCCAAATGATTTTCTTTTGGGGCACAACTTTACGTTGGGCACCTGAAATGGGATCATGTCATAACCTTCCCTTCGTGCAAGTGTCTCTGCAATGTCGTGAGCAGCCCTCGACCTTCCCACATTTATTTGTAAAAACTTCGTAATAAATGGTTCTTATCTCTTTAACTTACTTACCCGTAACCTTTCTGATTCTTGGTCCTAAGTACTTTTACCCACTCTTTCATCCTCATTTCTGATAGGGTCTCTCTTGAGCTTCCGTTTTTCCAGGATGAGTTTTCTATACTCCGGGTATCGTAAGCTGTCGGCTTTGTGCCCGGATTCTTTACGAGTGAGACAAAAAGCCTCCTGATTACTGCATTCTTGTAACTGGTGACCGTCTTTGCCAGATCTATAGCAGCAGTCCGGTCTATTTTCTTCCTTGCAGTCAATTTTACTATGCCCGAACTGCAGGCACCTAGAGCACCGCTGGGTATGCAGTTTCTCTCGTATCTTGCACGAGTTTCAGCCGATAGGTATGTGTTCTTTTTCTAGTGCTTTCTTGGCTGCGATCCGCGTCAATCTGACCGTGACGATTGTGTTTCCGTCTCTATTTTCCCTTATAGAAACGAGTTTGGCGTCATTAGGGCCTCTGCTGGCGGTATATCTCTGGACTTGCCTTAGAGTTTCTTTCTTTGTGACATTGTCAAAAATGTCCACCGGAACATGATAACCCCGAACGTTCTCAACCGTGTTTCCTTCCATACGGGCCATAATATAGTCCTCTTCAAGTGCTCGGCCTGTTCTTTCCTGGTCTCCTCCCTGATCTTTCACCCGATTTCAATCCTAAATAAAATTTTTATTGGGGATACTTAGAAAGTAGAATTTGTAAAACTAAACCTGCAAGTGTTGCAGAACTAAGACAAATAATTATCGATGAAATCATATTAATTTATAAAGAAAAATGGAGAAATGTAATAGATACATTCTACCATTGTTTAGAATACTGTCAAATTAACAATGAAGGACATTTTGAACACTTGATTAGGTAGACATTAATTTAGCAATGTAGAAAACTTTGAATTATTATGTTCAAATTTAGTTGAACATACATAGTTTGAATAAAAAAAAATATTAAGACGGACAGGCGTTTCTAGGTTTTTGTTTGATCTGTTTAAGATGTTCCTGACTACATAAAATCGAAAGTATTGTATACGGTTAAACTGGTATTAAAATGGATAAATGTCTAAACACACAGACAATTTCAAATACAATACAAATCACAAAAATCAGTTATATTGTAAAATGGGTATATCCCAGTTTTTGTATAATGAGAACAATGCATTTAAGAGATTAATAGGCGTTTCGAGACTATTGGTCCACTCTGTATCAACAATATATATCTATAACATCAATCATCTTAAAATACTATACAAACAAAATTTAACAATTGATTAACTAGCAGAATACTAAATTATAAACCACAATGAAGAGGTAGTCGAGGAAGTCGAGGACCATATAAATAGAAGAAGTATGGTTTGATACGTGAAAAGACAACAAATTGTTAAATCCTATTCCAACAAAAACAGAAAAAAGAAGATAAATAAAGACACTGATCAAATATGTTTTTATTATACAGTCTTATTAAATAAAATTACAAGCATCATAGATAAAAGCCAAATACTCTATAGCCTCTATTTTATTGTATAAATCTATACAGCCAAAAGTTTGAGGCAGGCTTTTTAAATTTTTTTTGTTTAATAATTTAAACACAGATAACATCCATACAGCTTTCAGCGGTTTTTAACAAAAACATACTCATCTATCAGGCACCTAACATGTAAGTACATATTTGCATTATTTCTTAATACGTCATAAACGTGAAGTGTAATTGTACAAAAATAAAATACTGTATGTTTAAACCTTACCTAGGCAAGTCATTATATAAAATAAAAATCAATAGTTCAACATGAAACGAAAAATATTATTGATCTTTTAGTATGTTTTATATTTTTTTTATTATTGGTATCAAATCTGCACAGTTTTTCATTGCTTTTGTTATCTTTCAACGTCATTTTTAGCATTTGTTTAAATTTCAGCTTTTCTAATACTTTCAAAAAAGATGTATTTTTTATTTAGTACATTTTTTATTATAATTTTTGTCCAACAAATGATATTTGTAGGTAGAAACTTTTGTATGAGAGCAGGCAGTTTTTCATGGATATCCATGTGGAAGTTTAGAATTGGAGTTCTTTGTTATAAAGTTTTAAAACATCTTGCTACTAGTTTGTTTTGTAATGTCCTGAAAAAACATATTTTAAAGTTACAGGTGGCTCAAAGTATCTTTTATCTTAAACCGTTCACATTAGTCAAAAACTCCGCCACCTGAGATGAAATACATCAAAATACAACGTAACTGAGCAAATAATTCAATATCAGCACCTATGCAAACTCTTTAATAGCATATAAAAAAGTGGAAAAATACCATCAGATTGGCAGAAGTCAATTTTAGTTTCAATTTCAAAGAAACGGAATCTGGCGCTGCGAAGATGATCATCTAATTAGCTTAATAAGCCACGTAATCAAAGCGTCATCATCACACAGCCAAATTTGTCCACTGTCGAACATAGGCCTCCTCAAGATGTCTTTACTCTTCTCTGTCTTGTGCAGCTGCGATCCAGTTTGTCACTATTCTTTTAATGTCGTCCGTCCATCTGGTAGGTGGTCTTCTACGATTTCGCTTGTCTGCCCTTGGCCGCCATTCTAAAATCTTCTTTGTCCATCTGTTGTCTCTCTGTCTTGCGACGTTTCCTGACCATTTCCACTTCAACTTTGTAATCCGTTTTATGACGTCTTCCACTCCAGTTCTTCGCCGTATCTCATCATTCCGTATTCGGTCTCTCAAAGTTACGCCAAGCATAGATCTTTTCATTTTTCGTTGTGCTACTTGTAACATTTTTATTGATGCTTTAGTCAATGTCAGTGTTTCAGCTCCATAAGTGAGCACCGGAAGTACGCACTGGTTAAATGCTTTTCTCTTTAGCTTTATTGGGATGTTTTCCTTAAACACGTCTTTTAGCTTGCCATAGGCTGCCCATCCTAAAGCTATTCTTCTAGATAATTCGCATGTTTGGTTGTCTCTACTTATTTGTATTTCGTGGCCCAGATATATGTATTTGTCAACCGTTTCAATATGCCAGTTTTCTAGTTTCAATGGTCCACTAGGTACTAAGTTGGTCATCATTTTAGTTTTCGCAAAGTTTATTTCCAGCCCTACTTTTTGGGAGACTCGTTGTAAATCTTGTAGCATTTCGTTGGCCTCCTTTAATTCGTCGGTTATTAGAACTATGTCATCTGCAAATCGTAGGTGGTTCAGCCTTTCGCCATCGACACTCAAACCTCTGTTTTCCCATTCTAACATCTGGAATGCATGCTGCATTACGGCATTGAATAGTTTTGGTGACATGTTGTCTCCTTGTCTAACTCCCCTTTTTAGTTTTATTTTTTGAGTAGGGGTGTGGAGGTTTATTGCTGTTGTGACATTTGCATATATATGTTGAATAATGCTGGTATATCGGTAGTCGATTCTACAATCTCTCAAAGCTCTTAAGATAGCTACCATCTCGATAGTGTCAAAGGCTTTTTTATAGTCAACAAATACTAGAACTAGTGGCCGGTTGTACTCTATAGTTTTTTTCAATTAGGGCCTTTAGACAAGTTAGATGGTCATTTGTACCATACCCAGGGCGGAAACCTGCCTGTTCTCTTGGTTGGCATGTTTCTAGTTTGTTCTCAATTCTGGCAGTGATAATTCGAGCAAAGAATTTATACAGGTGACTTAGAAGACTGATTGGCCTATAGTTTTCGAGGTCTGTTTGATCTCCTTTCTTATGCATGAGGAGCGTTATAGAATTATTCCATTCAGCTGGTATTGCTTGGTTTTCTAAGCATATATTGAAGAGCTGCTTGATTGTCCTGATGAGAGCAAAGCCTCCGATTTTTAGCGCATCCGCCACTACTCCATCTTCTCCTGGTGCTTTGTTTTTTTTTTCATTTTCTTTAAAATTCTGGTAAATTTCAGCCGTTGATATGTCGGGAATATATTCTGAACCTTGATTCATAATTTTTTGTTCTGTATGTTCTGTCGGGTTTAAGTCCAATTTATTTGTGTATAGTGTTTTATAGAAGTCTTCTACTATCTCTAGCATTTCGTCTCTGTTGGATGTTAGTTTGCCATTCTTTCCCTTAAGTCTGATGATTTCTTTTCTGCTGTTCGTCAATTTCCTTCTTAATATCTTCATGCTCTTGTTGTGCTCGATTGTCTGCGAGATTTTCTCATTTTTATATGCCCTTAGGTCCTTTCTAATTGCTTTTGAGACCTCTTTGTTGATTTTATTTATGCTTTGTTGTTCTATACTCTTATCTTTTAGCATTTCTCTTCTTTCTTCCATTTTAAGTTTGGTGTTAGCAGTGATTCTCTCCTCTCTCTTGTTACCTGTACAACATTTTCTTTGAGCTTCTGCTATGGTATTAGTAATTACTTTATTTAGCTGATTTATATCATTTGTGGGGGGCCTGTTTTGTAGACGTACCGTTATTTGATCTGCAAACTCTGTTTCATTTTTTGGTTGTGACCATGCTTTCAATTTTTTCTTTCTTACTAGTTTATTTCTCTCTTTATCGATGTTAATTTCTATTCTAGCGCGAACCATTCTGTGATCACTTCCTGTTGTGAAGCTGTTGAGTACAGTGACAAAGCGTGCTTAAAAGTAATTCATAAGCGAGTTTATAACAAATGTGAAGAGAGAACGGAAGGCACTAAGTTTGGTTTCAAAAACGGTTTAGGGATACGAGTGGCACTTTTTTGTACAGTTATTGGTGTAAAAATGCTATGACCAGAGGAGGGATATCTTTATTTGCTTTATTGATTACCAAAAAGCTTTTGACAACGTAAGACATGATGTGTTAATACAAGCGCCGAGATTGGTCTTAATGGAAAAGACATAAGGATGATCCAACAGCTCTACTGGAATCAAAAGCAGAATTAAGAATCTCCAACGGTCTATGTACAGAACAAGTAGAAATAAGTAAGGGCGTGAGTCAGGGCTGCATTCTGTCCCCTCTGCTGTTTATTATTTATGTAGAAAAATCTTTCAACTTACACAGCAGAATGAAAAAGATATCAAAAGAAATGGAATTCCCATAAATAATTTACGAATATAAGCTCCAATTTCCAAAAAAAAAAAGAAATAACTAGACTATCAAAAGTTTTAGTTTAATCTGCTAAACTAGGCACATTATTTATAACGTATTTCGTAGAATTTATCGCATTTCATTAAAAATGTAGATACAACCAAAATACGTACAATTTCACTACACGTTAACAACAAAAGTAATTTCTTGACATTAAAATTTATTACACCCTGCATATATTTACAGAATTGTATATACTGCTAGATTAGTTACTAGATACGTAGTTAGGTTTGATTGTTTTACCTAAATATGTTTACAATAGTTTTCTAGGTACAAAACTAAG